GCAAACCGCAGCCATCGCATCGGTGTCGGCGAGCCGGGGACCCGGGGAGGGCCACTACGGCGAAAGGTCACCCCGGGCCCGCCGCGCGCCGCACAGCGGCCGCCAGCCGTGGGGACACGCCCGGGGGGGGGAAGTTTCCTGGCAAATGGGTGGAGAAACGCTGGCCCAGCTCCTCGGGAGGAGGTCTCTGAATCAGAAGCTCGACTGCAAGGAATCCTCCAACGTCTGAAGCCTCCTGGACACATTCCTTAACCAGAGGCCACCTAGATGGGGTCCGAATAGATGAAGTCGGAGGATCTCGCCGATGCATCGGCGATGAATCGGCGATGCATCGGCGATGCACTGACGACGTCGGCGGTGCATCGGCGACGTCGGCGTGGAGAAAATCGGGCCCCACATCGAGCCGAATCGCCGATGCATCGCCGATGCGTCGGCGGTGCGGCGAGATCCTCCGACCCCATCTACTCCGACCCCATCTAAGAGGCCTAGATTAACCAACGCCCCCACCTCAGAGGAACAAGTGCCAGCATAAAGTATTTCGGTGCTCCGCGCGGGCTTCTCGAATCGGGGCTGGACCCCCCTCCCTGGCGCGCCGGGGGCCCCAGGGGGGCCCAGCGCCGATCCAAGAACTCCGCGCGGACCTTCGACAACTTCTGGTTGCGCCGATGCCTCTTCGAACCGTAGCAGGAGCACTGGGAGGAGAAGGAGGAGCTCCAGGGAGAGCACTGGGAGGACCACTCGCAGCAGGAGGAGGAGGGGGGGAGGTCCGACACCTTCTGATTACTCCAGATTTCGTAATAAAGGGAGGGGGGTCTCATTTCGGGGGGGTCTCTTCCAGGCTATCTTGGAGGGCCTGGGGGGGTCCGGGGACCATGTTTTGGAGGGTTCTCCCACGGGGGAGGTCTGAAATGGCTTGTCTTGGAGGGTCCAGACCCCCTTCCTTTTATTACGAAATCTGGAGTATGCATTGCTTGCTATGTCGAGACACGTGTGGAGCCGAAGCTTCCCTCCGGGGCGGACGGCCTCTGCCTGATCCATACGCAGGGGGCCGCAGGCCTCTCGGTGCTGTCTGCCGGCTCCGCTCCCTGCGCCCCCCCAAGGAGGGCCCCAAAGCGGCCCAGGAGGCCTCTGGGACAGCCCAGGAGAAGGCCCAAGAGAGGCCCCAAAGGGACCCCAGATGGGGCACACACACGCATCGGCATGTCGAGCCCTCCGCCCCAGGGCGATCTCCCAGACCGCCAGCACGGGCCCGCCTCCCATGGAGCTGCGAGGTCCAGAAGGCCCCCAAGAGGCAAAAATCAGGCCCCCAAGAGGCCCAAACCAGGCCCCGAAGAGTCAACCGAGAAGCCCCGAAAACATCCCCAAGCCGCCTCCAAGAGGCTTCCGAGAAGCCGTCCCAGATTTTCTCGCGGGAATCCAAGAGGCTTCTGACCTGCCACCAAGGCACGATGGCGGGATGGACCAAACACCATTAATACATATGCATCGAATTATGCGTAGTTTACACACATACACATATACACGTACGCGCACGTGATCATACACATGAAACCTTACAAGCACAGACGTGCATACACATACACCTGCTCAGAGACGTATACATATGCATATGCGTGTACCTGTACATGCGCAAATATGTCTGCATATACATATGCCCATGTACGTATGCAGGCATACAACAATACTCATACACGTATGTCTACATATACGTATACGCTTACCTGAACATTGACATACGCATTGCATTATACATGCGCGTGCACATACGCAGGTAAATGCAGATGCACATACACATTGACAAACACACATGAGTATCCATATGCACATTCACATACATATGCATCGACGAGTACATGTACGCCTGCAGCTACATACAATTACACACTTCAGTATGGTGTTTCAACATACATATCACATGCATAATCGTTTACGAGTACATGTACGTCTGCATCTATATGTACTTGTACACACTTACGTCTTATGTGTAAACACGCACACATCATATACGTACTAATACATATACATGTATATACTGGCAGCTACATACGCATGTATAACCATAGCCGTAGTCATACACATATACACACGTAGACCTACATGTACAAATACACACACTGTATGTGTGTATGCAGATATCCCTATATGTACCTATGTAGATACATCTCACATCTTTCTAACTTCCCACGCCAAGGGGTCTGCGGCTAGCGGCAGTATCAAACACAAGGTGGAGAGGCGTACGCCAGACCCTCAGGCCGCGTCACGACTCCCTGGAAGCCTCTGGAGACCTCCAGGCGGCCCTCGGGACCCGCGGGACCGACGTGGCGGCACCCGGACCAAGGACCAGGGCCCTCGGGGCCAAAGGTCTCTGAGGGCCCGACGGGCAGGAAACGCCGAGGCCTGAGACAGAGGGTCGGAGCGGAGGGGCGGCTAGCCTCTGTGCGTCATGGGGAATTCCATCCGCATCCGCCCAATCAGGCCTGACACCACTATAGGGCGGTTTGCGAACGGAAACCAAAGAAGAAGATCTCGACATCAGGCTTCACCTGATCTCTCAACGGATGCGACGGTTTCTAAGATTTCGCGCGTTACGTTATAATCGCGCAGATAATCACTGATAGCACTTCTTCTACCTTCCCACGCAAATATGTCTGTGGCTAGCGGCGCTGGCAACCACCAGCGAAGCATGCGTCAAATCATCAGGCCGCGTCACGACTCCCTGGAAGCCTCTGGAAACCTCCAGGCGGCCCTCGGGACGCGCGGGACCGACGGGGCGGCGCCTGGACCAGGGACCAGGGCCCTCGGGACCAAATGTCTCTGAGGGCCCGACGGGCAGGAAACGCCGAGGCCTGAGACAAAGGGGCCGCGCATGGTCGTGGTCCCAATGCCCCGGCGCGGCGTAAATTCGTCAGTGGTACCAACCCGCCGACATACCACGGGAACCGATTGGCCTGCAAGTGGAAGAAGCTGAACAGCCTCTTGAGACTTCTTCGAACTGGCACGCCGTCCGACTGCTGATTGCGCAGAGCGGGGCGGCCCAGTGGACCCAACGGGCGACCACAACGACTGAGGCAGGACTATATGCGATGACCACGCATGTAATTGTCTCGCGGATGACATGCGCGATGACTATGCAATTGGTGATGGCGGCCTGCTGACACTGCATGGTGAAAAGCTCCGTCGTCCGCAGCAGCTCTGCGAAGCCCAGGGATAGGCGTGCGCAGACATCCTGGGCCACGGCTGCGATTCGGGCGTGAAGGGCGGGGCCCGCTCAGGCGGCTCGCAACTTCTCCATGCTGCGAGGAGGCTCCACGACAGCCCCAGGATCTGCGTCACGGAGGAAAAGAAAAAGCCGATTGAGCCGACTGCGCAGTTGGCCTTGCTGAGAGGTTCGGCCTCTCCACCGCGTCTCGATGCACTCGGCGACGTCCTCATCAATGTCCAGGGAACCAATGGGTCGCAGGCCGCAGCGTCCCAATAGTCGAGGAGCCCCCCTAGGTCGGCACAGATGCACCCAAGCGTCGTGGCCGCGACCCTCGGCATCCTCAGCCGAGCATGACACTTCGCCGAGTGCGCCTTCCTTGCCACTGAAGGTGTGTATGAAGACCTTTCTGGGGCTCCTGGAACGGCCTGCCCTCGCTCTGGCCTTCCCCTGTCGACTGGACGGCGCGTCGGTTGGGTTGTCTGTCGCGATGTACCCTATGCTGGCGTCGAGGTGCTCGGAAAACCATGAGCGCGCCAGCAAGGGGGCGACCTCTGCATGCAGCCCGCGCCCGCCGATGCGCGCGTCGGCCCTGTCCAGCCACCTCAGCGGGGCCGCGACACGCCTATTCCAGTTGCCAAGGCCACGCTCGCGGCTGTCATGGCAAGTCAACGCCCATCCTCATGTCGCTCCCGCTGCGGTCGCCGATGGCGAGGTGCTCAGCTGGGAGGGGCGACGCGCGCGCCCTGTCGCACTCGGTGGCGCCCTTCGCGCATGAAGTGACCTCGCCCAGGATGGCGGGCAAGTCCCCCCCCGAGCAGGGCCTCTTCGGGGAGCTCTTGGTCGAGCAGCCCTTGCGCCGAAAGTAGCTGCTGCGCAAGCCAGGTGGCTTTGTGCCCCGTGCGGGGGTTGCCTAAATAAAAGGAAGTTCCTGGTGTCAGGGCCCTCGCGGGCGACTCTGATGCAGGTCTTGCCGAGCCCCGGGAGGGCCCCGTGAGTCGCGCGCGTGGCCCCCAGGGCCAGCTGCGCCAATCGCATCGAAGCCGCCCCGCAGAGACGAAGGTGGAGGAGCGCAGCTTGACCGGCACCGCGTCCACCCCGGGTGATTTCGCCCCTGTCGCCTGGGATCATCGGGGCGACATTCTCGACGAAGGAAACGGCCTTCTTCTTGAAGCGCTTCCGCAGCAGCCCGCTGACCTGGGGCGCGTCGCAGACGAGCCCTGAGCGCGGCCCCGCAGCCCTGCCCCGGCCAGTTTGAGCCTCCTCAAGTCCTGGCCGCAGCTGCCAATAACCCATGGACACACGCCGTACAAGCTGCGAACGCGTTGGCCAACTTCCCGACGTCGGACTGGGCGATGGGCTCGACGTCGCCCCAATCCGCGGCCCCGGGGCCACCGCGGCCAGACCGATCGCCAGGCGGCCCCGTCCATCTCGCTGCGGACCATGCCGATGGCTTCGACGGGCAGCCTGGGCACCGCGACCACGAGAGCCGCGATGCCGTCGAAGAGGCTCACGGTCAGCACCTCGGGCTGAGCACGACGCCGCACGTCTGGGCCGGCATGCTGCGCGGCCGCCGATTGCGCAGCCGCCGATCGGCCGAGGGTCGGCCTCCAGCTGCTCGTCCGCCAGGGGGGTCAGACCTGTGGAGGCGCAGACGCCGCCCCCGCCCGCTCTCCGAGGCATCAATAACCGTCGCGACACGTGACAGCGATGCCCCGCGGTCGGTGCCGGCGATGTGGAGGTAGCAGATCTACATGGGCAGCTCCTGCGACGCGCGCATGCTGGCGCGGCCTCCCCACACCTTGGTCGAGAGCTCCCTGACCGCGCCCGGGCGGCTGAAGAGCGGGCGCCTGACCTCCGCCGCCGCGACAGCACGTCCAACCAACGCGAGTGCGAAGGGCCATGGGCAATAGTGGCGGCCGAAAGCGTGCAAAGGGTACCGCGCGAGCCCCACCGCTCCGTCGATCGGCGCCCTGATCGCGCCAGCCTGGCCGTCGAGTGAACCGCCCGTTCTTTCCCGCTGCAACTGCCTCGCGTGGCCCTTCACCTCCGCGCAGGCAACCTCGGCCCTCGCGCGGGCCTCCTGCAGGGCGAGTTGCATCTCGCCTGGAGCGCCCACGACGCGGCAAGCCTCGGCGGCGCGAGGGATCTCAGGGGCGTCGGAGCCGTCCATGTAGACCTGCGACCATGCGCGCGGTCGCTGTCGCGCCAGGGTCCATGGCTGGTCGCGTCGCCACTCGGCGGGTCCAGGATGGCCCGCGCCCAGACGCAGAGCACGCAGGGCCGCGCGATGATGGAGGTGCCAGCGCAGAGTGACCGCGAGAACTCGGCCCATGGGGATGGCCCAGCGCGCGATTCAGACAAGGCGGTCGCCTGCCAGTCCCGCGGCGCAGGCGTGCGCTGTCGCCGAGACGGCCATCCACCCCCTACAGGCCTGGGGCAGCTTCCACGCGTAGAAGGCGCTCATCTGGTCGCCGCGTTCCGTGCCATCGCGCGCCCAGTGAGTAGGCGCGCGCTGACCCAGCAGGTGGAGGCCGCGAGCGTCGACGCGTCGTCCGCGATTTTGCAGCGGCAGGCGTCGGAGGGCATCGCGCGGAAGACCGGGCGCGCGGGGCGGCCCAGGCGCTCGATCGACTGGCCCTTCTTCTCGCGGGTGAAGAGACCGCCGAGAACTTTCCGGCCGCGCGGGGGGGATGGCGTCTTCCTCTCGTGCGGCGCCCAGGACGCCAATGCTTCTCAGGTGCTCGGCTATCTCGCGCCAGTCCTCGAGGTGCTCGCAGTGGGCCCTCGCCTTCGGCGCGTCCGCGGACCGCTCCGAGGTCGGGGGGGGGGGGGGGGGGGGGCGACTGTCTCAGGGTCCACGAGCCACTCGAAGATGTGGTCGTGAACAAACTCATCCGTCTGGCGCGGCGCTGCGCGCTGCTCGCGATGTGGACCTGGGTCCGGGCCCGCGGTGGATCGGCAAGGTCTCGCCCCGCTCCACTTCCGCGCAGTCCACCCTGGGCCCGGAGACCCCCCTGCCCCAGTCGATGCGTGGCTGCCCCATCAGCGGGCCCCCCGCGAAGCCATCGACGCGCGCGACGATGGTCTGGCACGCGGCCCTCCGCATGAGGCGCAGCGCGGGCGAGTCTCCAGGCCACCTCTGCCAACGTACTCGAAGTCGAGAGATAGCATTGCCATGCATTTCCATATTTCACGGGCGATGATGCGGCCTCCTCCACGACGCCGCCGCCGCCCCCACCTCGGCTCGTCCGGCGACGCGACCCGCGCCCGAGCGGGCGAGAGGTCAGGGGGGGTCATCGGCAGAGGGTCGCGCGACCTTGCCCGCGGCCCTCCAGTCGTGGGAAGGCGCGGGCGAACTCTCAGGCAAAGCTTACACATCCGACCAACATTGCCGTCGGCGCCAGGCTGCCGCAGCGGCGCCGACTTCCAGCAAGTGCAAAGTGTCGGGCGCAGCTCTTGAAACAGCTGCCCTCTACTGTGTCCAGTCAGCGCAGAGGATCAAGTCGATGGGCCATCCGGCCCGCAAGTCATGATTCACCGCTGGCCCTCGCCCCGCGGCCGGGGGCGGCCCTGCCGCCCGCGCGCCTCCTGCGTCTGCTCCCCGTGGCGGCGGCCGCAGGCGTCCCGCGCGTCCCTCGGGCGGGCGGCCCTGGCGGTTTTCCAAGAAATAGCTATGGCCGCGCTCTTCTCCAGGCCCTCGACGCCCACCAACTGCGCGGCCCGCTGCTGCCCCTGCGCCGGGCGGCCCGCAGCCGCCCCATCGCCGGGGGCAACGGGGCGTCCCCGACGAGATCTGCGGGCGTCGGGGCACCAGGTCGCGGCTGCGACATCTGAACCTGGCCCCCTCCAGGCTGGCCAGCAGGAAAGGGGTCGCCCCTCCGCGGGCCCCCCCCCTCCGCCCGAGCTTGGCGAGGTGCTCCGCGGGGCGCAGCTCCCCGAGCTCCACCGCGCGCGCGATCTCGCAATCCTCCGTCTTGGGGGCCAGCTGACCGTTCTGAGGAAGAATGAGCTCCAGCCAGTGCGCCCCAGACCACTGCGTGTCAAGCGAGAGCAGGTGGAGGGCCTGAAGGCGCTGGCTCAGCACGTCAGGGGCGTAGGGCGTCTTGCAAGACAGTATAGCATCTGCGGCCTCGTACACCGCGCGCATCCTGCAGCATACCTCAAAGCCACTCAAAGTGCTGGGGCTCTAAGAAATGACCACATTCAAAAGATACTTGATGAAGATCGGCGGGAACTCGTCTGAAACCTCCTCCTCGACCCAGGTCGTGGCGCGCTCGCTCGCTCTGACACTGGCCTGCTCCGGCAGCAAGCCAGGGAAGTTCACGGCTCTCTGGCAGGGGCCCCCCCGACGCGTGGCGGGGCCTGCAGGCGCCGCCCCGTCACCGCTGCTGCTGGAGGTGCCGAGCATCGACAGCCGCACGTCGGTCGAATCGCCCGTGATGGCGCCGCCCTAGAGCAGCAGCCGGGGCAGAGTGCTCTCGCCCCCTCCGCGACCGCGCCAGCGGCGGAGCCGCCCGCGCCGTCGCCCCCCCCCCTCTCGGGGGCCCGCCACGCAGCCTTCTCACCTCCTCCTCCTCCTCCTCCTCCTCCTCCTCCTCCTCCTCCTCCTCCTCCTCCTCCTCCTCCTCCTCCTCCTCCCCCCCCCCCGGGGCCGTTTCGGTGGACGACCTCGCGCCTGGGTTGGGTTGCAGCGTCCCGCGCAATCGAACCGAACGAGCGCGCAGGCCGGCGTTCCCGCGAGGCGCAGGCTCAGCAGCCGACGGCCGCATGCTTACGGCCTCGAGTGGAAAAGCCTTCGCCGACCGCGCCTGCCTGGGGCATGCAGGGCGCGGCGCAACCCGCGGGCCTCTCACGGCGGCGCGCTCCTCAGCCACCTCATGGGGGCTGCCCCTCGGCATGCCGTACTCGTCGACCTCAACTCTCTCGACGATATCGTCCGTGGCGGGCTCGGGGCCGAACTATTCGGGCCACGTCGCGTAGTGGTCTGTCGCCTGGTACTCCAAGTAGAATCCCCCCACCTCGGTGGGGCCCATCAGCACGTGCTCTAGGACATGCGTGCACGTGGCCGCTGAACTGGGCGGTCTGGCCGCGCATAGCTCGAACAAATAGAAATTATACAGCACACGGCCACACTGCACGCGCTCAGCAGAGTTGGCCGTCCACCCCACCAAGTACTCGCCACTGCAACATAACTGCTGACCGCTGGCGAACTGACAACCACCTGCTGCATCATAGTCGCCGTCGGTCCTCATCACATACTCCCACTGAGCCTGGTCTCGAGCGTCGAAGGCAGCGCAGCAGTAGACACGCCCGACCTCGACCAGATCCGTTGACGTCTCCGACTGCTGGTCCGCACCATCGGCCTTTGACTCAACAAGCTCCGCTCCCACGGGCCCACCCGCTATGCGGCGAGGGCCAGCAGCTGAAGGACGACCATGCTTGAAAGAAACCCTGAGCCAAAGAAGCGACACACGGATGTTGACCTCAAGTTCCAACTGAACTCTCAACGGATGCGGCGCTTCTCGGATTTCTCGCGTTATGGTACAGTCGTGCCGAATATCACATTTAGATATGTGTAAATATTCTAATACATATGTAACCATCTACATATACATACATACATACATACATGCATGCATGCATGCATACATACATACATACGTACATACATACATACATACATGCATACAAACATACATATATACAGACATACATATACATGTATGTGTGCGTGTCGCTCGTACGCAGGAGCGTAAAGCAACGGCGCCATCTAGGAGAACCTGGGCGGGTGTTCTAGAGAGCCCGACGAGGGCCATGGCCGCCAGTCCATGCAACTTACGTACACACGGCCAGCCCACTCTTCCACTGCGGGCGAGTGGGGTGGCTTACGCATATATGTACACATTTATATACACATCGATAGCCGCACCCCCCCCGGATGGTGAAGGATCCCCCCGTAACCCTTTGTATCATGATTACCCCTGGGCAGTTCATTTTTGGTGGCGAGCGGGGGCGGCGAGGCCGAATTTGATTATCACTGGGCGGAATACCGATATTAGCTGTATCTTGGCATCATGGGGGTGGCATTACGATCGGTACCATCATCAACGCTGAATTGCTATCCACAGGTTTCGCGCCCCTCCCACCCCTCCATATTATTTCTAATGTTTCTTGCTCCTCCCACCCTCCGTGTAATGCTATCTACGTGGTGCAATATGTGCGGTGCTGTGTATGTGGTACTGTCTATGTGGTGACTCTGCATGGTTGACCGTGCAGCCTTACATCCGAGTTGCCAGGACAAAACGTATGTATGTTTGGATGTACACATACATACATACATACATACATACATACATACATACATACATACACATACATACACATACACACATACATACACATACATACACATACATACACATACATACACATACATACACATACATACACATACATACACATACATACATACATGCATACATACATACACATACATACATACATACATACATACATACATACATACATACATATATACATAATATCCCCCAGATGCCCGAACTGTATTATCCCCGGGGGGTAACTTCGGGGGCACAGGGTAACGTATGGTACAAGGTTCAGAAAGGGTTTCAAAGGTGCCCGCTGGTGAAAACCCCTCACGGCACCGCTGAGGAGCCACCGCGCCGCTCCTAGCCCGCCGCCCCGCAGTCCGGCGGCAGCAACAGGGGCGGACAGCCCTGGGGGAACACCGACATGGCCAACCCTGGGGGCGGCAGTCGAACCCCCTGGGCGATCGACCGCGACCGGGCCCCCCCCCGAGCAACGCCCCTGGCCGATGCTCAGAGGAGGTGACGATTGCCACGTGTTTCATTTCCGCCGTTTTCTGTGGGCGTTCCGCAGGCTTCTGCCTGCGGTCCCGACGTCGTTCTGCTACCGCTGGCTTCCGACGGCCGCCCGCCGAAGGCGAGAGAGGCACCGAAGGCGAGGCCTTCCCTGGAACCCGCCATGTGCATCTATGGGCTCCGACCCTTGATGGGCCAGGTCCGTTTTTCATAGTTTCCGAAAAAGCCTGTCCTGAAAATGGAGACCCCCAAGAAATGGCGACCGGAAACAGGAAAAAACGGCCCTAGGATTGGAACCGGAGCCAAAACCTGAAAAACAACGGCGACGGAACCTGCAAAACAAAGGCGCCGGAACCGGCAACAAGCACGGCAAAACGGAGCCGGTGAAAAAGGGCCCTGCCGCTTCTAGGGCCCACTGAGCTCCGACCGCCCATGTCGTCGACGACACCCCTCGGCGAACACGCGTAATGCCCGCCACCCCTTGCAGGGGCGTGCTGCGCCGCTGCGCCGTCGTCGTCGCCGTCGTCGTCGACGACGACTCCGCCCCGGGACGTCGTCGTCGCCGTCGTCGTCGTCGTCGACGACGACGGCGACGACGTCGTCGTCGTCGTCGCCGTCGTCGACGTCGCCGTCGTCGTCGGGCCGCAGCACCGACGTGGAGATCTGCCTGCGCGGAGCGCTCCGCCTGCCCGCCGTCCCCGCTCCGCGGCCGCCCTCGTCTGTCCCCCCCGCCCGCCTCTCCGTGGCGTGCCGCTGCCACTCCCGGCCTCTCGACCTCGGGCTCCCCGCGCCGTGCGATCGCCGGCGCCGCGGCAGAAAAGGCCACCGTCGGTCAGTAGAAGGGGGCAGAGACACGAGGTCCCAGACAGGATCGCGTCGAAAGGCAATCAGGACGGGAGGTTTGTTGCTATGTTCGGCCCCGGGGGGCCCTCGACGGGCCTCGGGACCGTCAAAAAGCGACTCAGGACGAAAAACCCGGTCGCGGGGAAAGGGCCGGGACTTTCAGGGACGCCGTCCTGAAAAAGCAGGACGTCGCATGTCTGGGGTATGACGGCGTTGGAAGTAGATTGGGCTCCCGCCCGCCTCCTGCAGAGGAAGGAACAGGTGAGGCCACTCGATCATTGAAGTATGAAGGCGCCTATGTAGACTGCGATCCGAAAATACAGAAATGCCTACAGTACCTTTAACTACCGGCGGGTATCTAGTTCCAGCAGTAGTAGTAGTAGTAGTAGTAGTAGTAGCAGTAGTAGTAGTAGTAGTAGTAGTAGTAGTAGTAGTAGTAGTAGTAGTAGTAGTAGTAGTAGTAGTAGTAGTAGAAGTAGTAGTAGTAGTAGTAGTAGAAGTAAGTAGTAGTAGTAGTAGTAGTAGTAGTAGTAGTAGTAGTAGTAGTAGTAGTAGTAGTAGTAGTAGTAGTAGTAGTAGTAGGGCTAACCGGGGGATGGTGGCCGGGGCGGCGTGGGGGGGGGCGCGGGGGGGCGCGCGGGGGCGCGGGGGGGCGCGCGGGGGCGCGGGGGGGCGCGCGGGGCGCGCGTGGCGCGCGAGGCGCGCGGAGCGTGCGGGGCCTCCTGGGAAGCCGTCTTAGGTTTCCTGAGAGGCCTCTTGGGTATCCTGAGAGGCCTCTTGGGTATCCTGGGAGGCTCCTTGGGCCTCCTGAGAGGCGTCATGGGCCTCTCGAGAGGCCTCTTGGGCCTCCTGAGAGACCTCTTGGGCCTTCTGGAAGGCCTCTTGGGCCTCCTGAGAGACCTATCGGGCCTCCTGGGAGGCCTTTGGGGCTTCCTGGGGGGCCTATTAGGCCTCCTGGGAGGCCTATTGGGCCTCCTGGGAAGCCTCTTTGGCTTCCTGAGGCCTCTCTGGGCCTTCTGGGAAGCGCCTTGGGCTTCCTGCGGGGCCTCTTGGGCCTCCTGAGACGCCTCTGGGGCCTCCTCAGAGGCCTCTCGGGCCTCCTGAGAGGCCTCTTGGGGCTCCCGGGGGGCCTCCTGGGAGGCCTCTTGGGCTTCGTGGGAGGCCTCTTGGGCCTTCTGGAAGGCCTCTTGGGCCTCCGGAGAGACCTATTGGGCCTCCTGAGACGCCTCTGGGGCCTCCTGAGAGGCCTCTTGGGCTTCCTGAGAGGCTTCTTGGGCCTCCTGGGAGGCCTCTTGGGCCTCCTGGGGGGCCTCGTTGGCGTCCTGAGAGGCCCCTTGGGCATCCTGAAAGCCTCTTTGGCCTCCTGAGAAGCCTCTTGGGCCTCCTGAGAGGCCTCTGGGGCATTCTGAGAGGCCTCTGGGGCCTCCTCAGAGGCCTCTCAGGCCTCCTGTGAGGTTTCTTTAGCCTCCCGACAGGCCCCTCGGGCATCCGGAGAGGTTTCTTTGGCCTCCTGGGAGGCCTCTTGGGCCTTCTGAGAGGCCTCTGGGGCCTCCTGAGAGGCCTCTAGGGCCTCCTGACAGGCCTCTAGGGCCTCCTGGGAAGCCTCCTGGGAG